GATCTCGGCTCACTGCAACCTCTGCTTCCTGGGCTCAAGTGATTCTTCTCCCTCAGCCTCCTGAGTAGCTAGGATTACAGGCATGTGCCACCACACCCGGCTAAGTTTTTTTTGTATTTTTAGTAGATATGGGGTTCTGCCATATTGGCCAGGCTGGTCTTGAACTCCTGACCTCGAGTGGGCTACTCACCTCTGCCTCCCAAAGTGCTGGGATTACAGGTGTGAGCCACCATGCCCAGTCTAAAATGAGTTTTTATTCTAAAGTATAATTGGGCCGGGCACAGTGGCTCATGCCTGTAATCGCAGCATTTTGGGAAGGCAAGGCAGATAGAATACTTGAGGTCAGGCATTCGAGAGCAGCCTGGCCAACATGATGAAACCCCATCTCTACTAAAAATGCAAAAATTAGCTGGGAGTGGTGACATGCACTTGCAGCCCCAGCTACTCAGGAGGCTGAGGGAGGAGAACTGCTTGAACCCAGGAGGTGGAGGTTGCAGTGAGCCAAGATTGTGCCACGGTACTCCAGTATGGGTGACAGAGTGAGACTCCATCTCAAAAAAAAAAAAAAAAAAAAGTGCAACTGAATTGTTAGTAACTCTAATCTTAGTAATACACAGAACATGAGTTAACTCTGTAGCTCTATAAATTATTACAAGAATATCTCAGGAAAAATTGGTAATACATAGAAAGAGCCTTAAAAATGCTTTATAAACTTTCAGCTTACTTTATAAACTAGATGGTGTAAATATCAAATATGAAAGATGCAGAAAAAAGACATACCAGAAACATTCTTGTGGCCAATGTCAAATTTTATTTTTATTTTATTTCTTCTAAGAATAATGTCTCTAACCTAATTAACTTGTATAGGTTTTTTTTGTTTTGTTTTTTAAGACAGAGTCTTGGCTTTGTTGTCCAGGCTAAAGTGCAATGTGGCATGATCTCGGCTCACAGCAACCTCGGCCTCTGTCTGCCTTCGGGGTTTGAGCAATTCTCCTGCCTCAGGCTCCTGTATTTTTAGTAGAGACAGAGTTTTGCCATGTTGGCCAGGCTAGTCTAGAACTCCTGGACTCAAATGTCTACCCACCTCAGCCTCCCAAAGTACTGGGATTACAGGCAAGAGCCACTGTGCCCGGCTGCATTATTGCTTTTTAAAAACCCCCTATAACTTCCTCCTGTCAGAATTTATTCCTATTTTACACTTCAATCCCATAGTTTACTCCCTGCTTTACATTTCAGTAATTGCTTATGTGCTTGCTTCCACTTTGGTATAAAATCCTTGTGGTATGAAAGTCATATCTAATTCACACCTGAAACTTCTACAAGCCTCATTGCTGAGCAGTTATCAACATATAGTACATACTCACATATTTTTTGGTGAGGTAATGAGTTTCTTCCTCTAGGCTATGGATGTGAGGGGAGACAAACATACTTCTTGATTCTGAATACTGTTTTACTAACAGTGAAAATGTAGTTTTAATCAATTCTCTACTTACCTGACTAATAGGCATTCGTTTGGGAGGTCTCCCTCTTCGTCTGTTAGCAGGACTGAAGATAAATGTGGGCGGATCATCAGGAAAGAAATAAGAAAAATCTTGTTCTGCTATTTTATACGTTGAAAGAGATGATGCCTTAACACAAAGACATAGGGTACAGTAATAACACATTAGTAAACAATATACAGATATGCCCTAACATGTCATATGGCCACTATTAATGCTGTTAAAAGACCAGGATAGGCTGGGCACACTGGCTCACACCTGTAATCCCAGCACTTTGGGAGGCCAAGGCGGGCAGATCATGATGTCAAGAGATCGAGACCATCCTGCCCAACATGATGAAACCCCATCTCTACTAAAAATACAAAAATTAGCTGGGCGTGGTGGTGCATGTCTGTAGTCCCAGGTACTTGGGAGGCTGAGGCAGGAGAACTGCTTAAACCTGGGAGGTGGAGGTTGCAGTGAGCAGAGATCACGCCACTGCACTCCAGCCTGGACCCCATCTCAGAAAAAAAAAGAAAAAAAAAAAATAAGGATAAAAACATTAGAATTTCATGCATTATTGTGTAGTAAAATACGTTTTAATTGGTTTAACCAATCCTTTTTCCACTATATAATTAATTAGCCTTACCAGAAAGAAAACCACAAAGATTACATTACAATAAAATACCTCAAGAATGGTTGTACAGTTTCTTGTATTTCAAAATTATATATTATACAATACTTTATTTTGCTTTGACAAATTTTGTGAGATTTTCTATGTAAATGAATAATCAATCCATATATTTAACATTAAAAATCCACTGTATTAACCCGATAAATTTTTCGTAACCATTTGCCAACTGCTGAACATTTATTCAGATTTTCCTCCCAGGGTAGAGTAATAATTTAAATACTTAATGTATCAAATTTCCCATTACATCCCTCTAGTCCTGATTAAAGCAGAAATACTTGCAAATTCCTATAAAGTTTAAACAAAGAATTTAAGTTCAGAAGTCAACCTTATTCTTGCCAGAAATGGTGTGGTTCTAGAATAATTACTAAATCCAAGAGTTTATCTCCTTTTACCTTGTATCTAGAATTTGTTTGCCTTTTAAAGTATTTTATTTTAATTTTATTTATCTATTTATTTATTTTGAGACAGAATCTTGCTCTGTCACCCAGGCTGGAGTGTAGTGACGTGATCTCGGCTCACTGCAACCTCTGCCTCCTAGGTTCAGGTGATTCTCCTGCCTCAGTCTCCCGAGTAGCTGAGATTACAGGTGTGTGCCACCACATCCGACTAATTTTTGTATTTTTAGTAGAGACAGTGTCTTACCATGTTGGTCAGGCTGGTCTTGAACTCCTGACCTCAAGTGATCTGCCTGCCTTGGCCTCCCAAAGTGCTGGGATTACAGGCATAAGCCACTGTGCCCAGTCTTGCTTACCTTTTATCCATGTGCAACCCTAGACTTTTTGTTATTTTTGACCTAATGGCCAAGATCATCATTCTTCCTCTCAAGCAAATGAAAACAAGTGCCATTTACAGAAATACCTTTCAGGAAATGTGTGAGAAAATGATGATACAAAATACAAAAAGTTAACAAAACAGAAAAGGGTATTTTGTGTATAATTATTTTTGTGGGTAGAGCACAGCTTTAAACACCTAGAATTCAACCAGTTCTGGCCATGTAATAAATCAAGAATCTATCAAAATTTCACATTAAAGAAGATTTCATTAAAATGATCATATTTCATCCCATATAATCTCTGAATTATGTGGGACAACAGGATTATCTATGGAATAGAATTATGTAATTGTCTACAGAATTGCACCTTAAATATGAATATAAAGCACATGGGTGGTTGTGTCTCAAATATATATACACTCATAAAGGCCAAAATACGTTTTAGTACATTAATTGCCAAAGTTCCTTATTCATACACACAATACACAAGACCCACATTTTTGTGTACTTGTAGTTACTCCTAACAGCAGTCTATGCTCACCAAAACTGGTTATCAAACTTTGTGTGCTTGCTCACAAAGTGCTGTGCTGATATAATTTGGCTCTGTGTCCCCACCTAGATCTCATGTGGAATTGTACTCCCCAGTGTTAAAGAACAGGCCTGGTAGGAGGTGACTGAATCATGGAGCGGAATTCCCCCTTGCTGTTCATGAGATCTGGCTGTTTGAAAGTACGTAGCACCTCCCACTTCACGCTCTCTCCTGCCAGCCATGTGAAGATGTGCTTGCTTTCCCTTTGCTTTCTGCCAAGATTGTAGGCTTCCAAAGGCCTCCCCAGAAGCAGAAGCATGTACAGCCCACAAAACTATGAGCTGATTAAACCTCATTTCTTTATAAATTACTCAGTCTCAGGTATGTCTTTATAGCAGTGTGAGAATGGATTAATACACCAGCATATCCATTAATAATCTTCTATTACACTCTAAGTGAAAAATGTTTATTGTGACCTTAATTCCCATTTATTTGAGTAAAGTTGATCTTCTTTCCATGTTCATTGACTTTTTCCTTGGTGAAATATTTGCTGATTTCTTTTATCACCATTTTCCAATTGGGTCATCTTTGCTCACTGATGTGTAAGAAATCTTTATAAATTAGAGAAATTGGCCAACTGGTGTTTACAATACACATATACAACTATTCACATATATCGATTGCCTACCAAGTGTCAGGCACTGTTCTAACCATTTATTGGTTAGATCATTAAAACTTTTTGTAAGTTTTAATCATTAAAAAAGTTTTAAATCATTAAACTTTTTGTAAGCATCATTTAATATGGCTACCTGATAATGCTATAGATAGAGCATAATTGAATCTTATCAAGGCAGATACATAAATATGCTCACATTTTTAAAAAATTATTTTTCAGATGACGCTCTCTTACGTTTTCAAGTTTTTATATTTCTTCCACTGTGAATTTTAATCATATCTATTTGACCATTTTCCTACTGGGTTGCATATGTTTTTCTAGTTAATTTGCGTTCTTCATTGTATTTACTCAAGGTATTTTTCCCCCAGTGCTTGCCCTTGAAATCTATGCATGACTTTTTTTTTTTTTTTTTGCCTGATACGGAGTCTCCTGTTGCTCAGGCTGGAGTGCAGTGGTGCGATCTTGGCTCACTTATGCATGACATTTTAAAACTTATGTTTATGCTCAATCTCATCCTTGGTATTTTTTTTCTATTTCTCCTAAGTACCTCGTCATATTTAACATTAAAATTTGTTTCATTTCTTTTGAGTTAGATTTAACTTTATTATTCCAATAGTTAACCAAGTGTCCATTTTTTAAATCAATCTTGTCTCTAGAGACCTGAAATGTTAACTTTTCGCATAAACTCATTCTTTTTTTAAAGTTTCTCTTCTTTTTAAACATGTATATATAGTGAAATGCACAAATCTTACACATGCAGGAGATGATTTGTGACAAATGCATACATCTCTCTAACCCATTCTACTGCCTTTTTCAACTTTTAAGTTCAGGGGTGCATTTACAGGTTTGTTACATAGGTAACATGTGTCATGGGGGTTTTGTTGTGCAGATTACTTTATCACCCAGGTTTTAAGCAAGTACCAATTAGTTATTTTTCCCCATCCTCTCCCTCCTCCCACCTTCTGACAGGCCCCAGGTACGTGCTGTTTCTGCTTTTTTTTTTTTTTTTTTTTAAGAGACAGGGTCTTGCTACATTCCCCAGGCTGGACTTGAAATCCCAGCCTCACGTGATCTTCCCACCTCAGCTTTAGGAGTAGCTGGGACTACAGGCATGAGGCTCCATTCTATTGCTTTTTTTACTTGGTGTGTCTTTATCCCAATAAAAGTTGAATATTTTGTATTTTAAAAAATTACTTTAAGTTTTACCATTTAACTTTTTATTTGGTGTGCAATGTGAAATCTCTAAAACTTGACTTTTTCCTCTCTAAATAGTTATTAACAAAATATAATCTGTCTGCTTAGTATTAGCATGATACATTATTATTATTATTATTATTATTTTGAGACAGGGTCTCACTCTGTTGTCCACGCTGGAGTGCAGTGGTACAATCACAGCTCACAGCAGCCTTGGTGATCCTTTTACTTCAGCTTCCTAAGTAGCTGGGACTACAGTTACCACCACCACACCCAGGTAATTTTTGTAATTTCTGTAGATACAGGGTTCACCATGTTTCCCAGGCTGGTCTCCTGGGCTCAAGTAATATGTACACTTTGGCCTCCTAAAGTGCAAGGATTACAGGAGTAAGCCACGGTGCCCAGCCAATGCTCTTTTTATTATACATTGTTCTTTCATCTAGTAGGCTCTGTTTAGCATTGTTCTTTGAATCTGTCTATTCTTCGTAAGCCAGAACCACACTACAGGTATTAGGAAGCTATAGCTGCCCCACTTGATAACTTTTCTTTTTCCAAATTTTCTATTTTCACCTGTCCTTGTTGATCTTTTTTATAAGTGGTAGTAACTGAACCACCTAGCAATTCTAGCAATTTTAAAAATAGTAATTAATCTAATAAATATTTTTCAGAAGTACTAAAAATTGGCTCCAGATTTAGAAAGAACAATCTTTAATCATCTTTGAAATAACATTTTAGCAATGTTGTAACTTTATAACACTACCCATTTTGTTTTCTGTCTTCCAACAAATAATTTCATTATTTGATTACCTTTATTTTAATGATTCCATCTTGTGGTTCACAGTGTTGCTTCAGAAAAAGCTTTAGTTTATCACGAGAAAATAGGTGTTTTCTCCGGCTACAGGAAGGAAGGAAGTCAAAGAGGGTAGTGTTAGCATCAAAGAGTTCAACCCAAACTCCGTAATTTCTGTAAATTTATAACCTGAATTTCAAGCCTAGGAATCAAAGGATACTTCATCTTCTAACAGTATTTATGTAGAAGTTACAAGAAACTTTTACAGAGGTATTTATGTAGGAAGTTATAAGATCTACATGAGTGAATCTATTATAAAAAGTCTATTACAAAAACAGCATATGCATTTGTTGTTTAGGGGCCACTGGGAAAACAAACTTCAAGAGTCAGACGCGGTGGCTCACGCCTGTAATTCCAGCACTTTGGGAGGCCAAGGTGGGTGGATCACAAGGTCAGGAGATTGAGACCATCCTGGCTAACATGGTGAAACCCTGCCTCTACTAAAACTACAAAAAATTAGTGGTGGTGGTGGGCGCCTGTAGTCCCAACTACTCGGGAGGCTGAGGCAGGAGAATGGCATGAATCTAGGAGGCAGTGAGCCGAGATCACACCACTGCACTCCAGCCTGGGCAACAGAGCAAGACTCTGTCTCAAAAAAAAAGAAAAAAGTAAACAAAAAAGAAAACAAACTTTAAGGAAAATATGCTATAGAGAGTAAATCAAATTTTATAACATTAGATTATTACCCCTACAAGTTTAATCATTAAAATTCTCTTAAAAATTAAAATCAGGCCAGGCACAGTGGCTCACGCCTGTAATCCCAGCACTTTGGGAGACTGAGGAGGGTGGATCACTTGAGGTCAGGAGTTCGAGACCAGCCTGGCCAACATGGTGAAACCCCATCTCTACTAAAAATACAACAAGAATTAGCTGGGCGGTAGTGGCACATGCCTGCAATCCCAGCTACTCGGGAGGCTTAGGCTGGAGAATCGCTTCAGCCTGGGAGGCGGAGGGTGCAGTGAGCTGAGATTGCACTGCTGCACTCTAGTCTGGGAGACAGAGTGAGACCCTGTCTCAAAAAAACAAAGCAAAACAAAACAAAAAAATTAAAATCAGTAGACTCCCAGAAATCATATTAAGTGCTGCAAATCAACATTCAAGTGGATATTGTAAACAAAGTTGAACATAGCTTATATCAAATTTTAAAACATTTTGTATTTAAATCTCATGACAACCAACAAATTAGTGGGATGAAAATTAAAAGAGGCTTAAAATTAATATTCTAAAACATACTGTTTTTTATTCTCCCTTGCCCCCCAATTAAAAACAACCACAAGAGTAACAACCACCACCACAAACAAAACAAAACCAATAGAAAAGAAATAGAAGTATTTCTGGAAAAAAGTAAATGTTTTGAGTTCAATGTATTCCTTTCAAGAAAAAGCCAAGGTAAAAGCTCCAGTAAGTGAATAAACAATATATGATTTTTAAGTAGTGGCCTTCCCAAAAATGTATAGTTAGCCCTCCATATCTGTAGATTAAAAGTATTTGGAGAAAATAAAAACTGCATCTGTACTAAACATGTACAGACTTTTTTTGTTGGTGAGTATTCCCTAAACAATACAGTATAACAATGAATTATACTTCATTTACATTGTATTAGGTATTATACATAATCTGGAGATGATTTAAAGCATATGGGAAGATGTGTGTAGGTTAGATGCAAATACTACACCATTTTATGAAATTTGAACATCCAAAGATTTCCCTCCCACACAGATAAACGAGGATAACTATATTCTTTTCCTAGATTTAAAGCTCCATGAGAACAAGGACTCCGCTATATCTCTGCACCATACAGTAGCTGGTAAAGAGAAGGTAATTACTCGTTCACTGCTGAAGAAACTAGT